TTTGTTTTAATGGATAGAATTGCTTGTGAGAAGCTCCCCTTCATCAGCGGCTGCGCCCAATTTTTTTACACAAAAAATTATGGTCCTCCAAAAAGTCAAATTTTGATTTTTGACCGTTTTTTCAATCTTTTTGATTCCTCGAAAACTACCCTCCGAATTCTATTTCAATGGAGAGAACAGGCTGAGGAAAGCTCTCTGCGTTAGTGACTAAACCCACACTTTTTCTAACACAAAGTTATCGTCATCGTAAAAGCCATATTTTTGACCGCTTTTTGAAATTTTTTGACTATTCTCGAAAACTACTTACCAAATCTGAGATTTTGGATTCAATAAAAAACATGTTTAAAGCTCCCCTATAGAAGCGGCTACGCCCAAATTTGTAAAAGAAAAGTTCATCGCCCTCGGAAAAGCAAAATTAAGATTTTTTGACCGTTTTTGATTTGTCTCGAAAACTATAGCAAATCTGAGGTGTTTTGGTTCAATCGAAAAAAGGGTTGTGAAAACTGTATAAGCGGCGTCGTCCAAATTTTCTAACAAAAAAATTTTTGTCCTCAGAAAAGTAAATATTTTGATTTCTTGAAACACTCAGCCGAATCGAGGCAACGGTTAGAAGCCTCCATGCATAAGCAGCTACGTCTTAAAGTTTTCGGGAAAATTTCAATATCCAAAAAAATTCACTCTAATTTTATCAGAGAAACAACTAAGTTTAGGGTAAAGTCCATTTTCGAATTTTTCATCAGTTCAACAAATTCAAAATTCTCAAACACGTACCTCCAGTTTTATCTGGGCAATAGTTGAAAAAGTGAAGGAAGTTATAGACTTTTGTTTCCAACCATTTGAAAAATGTGGAGGAATTTTGTATTCGGGTGTTTTAGTTTTTAAATTTATTGTTTTTTATGCGAAATCAGGTACAAATAATCATCAGAATGAGTCGAATTATATATCATTTTAAAGGCCTTTCAAAGCCCATTTTGAAAAACTTTCTCGTTGTCGAGAACAACCGGTTTGAAGATTTTGATTTCGGTTTAATTTTGAGCTACTACGGTATGTCAAAACAAGGTTTGCAGGCTTACGATTGCTTATTTAAGCTTAATTTCAACCGATAAAATCTATTTTCACAAGAGTAAAGTTAGCTTTTGAATTTTCTTAGCGCCAATGACTGTCGAATAAACCTAGTTTTGTTTTTTGTTCACATCTTGCTATCACATCACACAAAAAAGGATACTAATTTGGAAAAAAAAATTGTTGTTTTTTGAGAGTCGATGGTATGAACATTTCGTGCTGTTTGCGCAGTTTTCGGCTATCCTTGTTTTTATTTTGTAATCATTCTTTCTCTGTATAAGAAGCGTTGAAAAGTTCTGCTTTGCTTATTTTTTAGAAACTGCTAATTTTGGATGCTCGTCACTGATGGTGCATAAATATTGTCGGATATATTTGTTATCGAAAGGATCTTTGATCAGTTAAACAGGTTCCGCTCGAAAGTGATGCAATCAGAAAAAAAAGCTATCTTCAAAATTGTTTTGTCGTCAATACCTTATTAAAGAGGCATTTAACGTGACTTATTTTTGAGAAGTCCTTAAGTTGACATTAATTTGCCAATATATTGCAATCTTTAAAATATTAACTGAAGTCAATTTTTAAAAAAAATTTCACGAATTTTAAAATTCCCAAAACTATGGCGTAGCGGTGTTAACGTGCTCTCAACAGTTGCAGACCTGGCCTCCATGAATGACTGCTCAAATCTTTGTAGTTTCTTATGGTTTTGCTTTTTAAATTCGAAAAACACTGAAAAATTACTTCTCAAATTTTCAAATCTTCGGCTTGATCTTCTGCGACTTGTCCGAGATCAGACATTTTTTTAATATAATTTTCAAAGATTAAAAAAATCTTATTTTTTGAAATTTTCAACCCTATAGTTGGGTGGTGTCAGGGTAATTGCAGGGATTGCAAATCTGGCCTCCAAAGATGACTGTTCAAATCTTCGAGATTTGACATTTTTGAAAAGTTTTCAAAAAGATTTTTCGAAAGTATTTTTCTTAAATATGAAAGTAAACCCTATGGCGTAGTGCTCTGATGGTATTCCCATGCGTTGCCCGTCTGGTTTCTGATTTCGGCCGGTCAAATAATTTAAGTTTCCGAAAAAGACGATTGCTATTGATTTCAAAATTTTCTATGAAATTAATTTTATCAAAAAATGGCGGATATTTTTAAATCAAATAGGCTGGATCAAACGATTGATGGCAGCAAATGATATAGGCACGAGTTAATGAAGTTAAGTAACTAAGTAAAAATCACTTAGGAATGTTGTGATTTTACCCAAAATAAAATTCGTTTTAGATTTTTTAATACGAGTTTAAAATACGAAGACCTAAAACACAGTGATTTTGGACTTAGGACTCCGATATATGAAAACGTTATTAGATGCTCTGTCTGTTCCTAATGTTACATTAAATGTCGTTTTTTTTTTATATTTTAACCATTATATACACCTAATTCAGTGCTGATTTAAATTATCCGGACAAAACTAATACAACTTGAATTTTCAACCATGTTTTTCTCAAATTGGGTTAATATTAGGCTAAAAGTGAAGACAAAAAAACTTGCTTAGAATTTCATCAGGATTAATATTTTTCTCCGAAATTTTCAACCAAAATTTTACCCCAAAAATGGATCATTTTGGCTTTTTTCAGTTAATCAAGAATTAAGCTGAAACTATTTTGTTAATTGATGAGGAATATATATCACAAGAAGCCTCTTTCACAGCCCAACAAAGTTCTAGAAGGGCTGTGGAAGAGGCTTCTTGTGATATATATTTCTCATCAATTAACAAATCTTGATTAATTGAAAAAAGCTAAAATTACCCATTTTGGGGTAAAATTTTGGTTGAGAATTTGGAGAAAAAGTTGCACTATATTAATTCTGATAAAATTCTAAGCAACTTTTGTTCTCTTCACTTTTTGTCTAATCTTAACCCAAACGTGATTGAAAGTTCAAGTTTTGTTCATTTTGTCCGGATAATTTAAATCAGCACTGTATACCGGAGTTGCAAGCCACACGCTAGTTTTCTTTTATTGCTCGTAGCGATGGGAAAGGTTTGTTTTTAGGCGTAGTTCAAATCAATCTCCAATAGCAAAGGTGATTACTGGTTGGAATTTTATCTGCTCGCTTTTCACTCCAATGGCTCCAAGTAAAGAATGCATCAACCTTTAAAAAGTTTTCAGGCCTTGTATTATTTTTGTGCTGCATCTTAAATATTGTGCGAGCGTGTTAGTGAGAAGGTGCTGAGAAGCATTAAAGTAAATTTAAAAGTTTGAAATGTTTCTTTGTTCCGACCATTAAAAATGGAGTGGGACTTTGTATTCAGGTGTGTGTTAGTTTTTTTGTGTGTTTTAGACGCAAAATTAGGCACCACAAATAATGATCGGACTGGGTTGAGTGATATATCATAATAGAGCCCTTTCAGTCGTGATTTGAATAACATTTAAAAACTTCTAAAAAATTCCCAGTGTCGAGAAAAACGGTTTGAAGTTTTTGATTTTTTGTCTATTTTCAATCGAATAAAGCGATCGAGTAAAGTTCTTTGTGTATAAAAATTACCAATTTAGGCCGAAAGTTGATAACTTTTTTTATAGTTTTGGAAGCCTTATTTAGCGCAATATAAATCTCAATTTTTGTTTATTTATTTTGCAGACAATTATAGTCGTTGATGCCTAATTCGCTAAATTTTCGCAGTTGCATAGCGCTATCATTACACAACGTACAAGAAAAGACACTAACTTAACTTACTAAAAAACAGAATGTGGTCGAAACATTGTGCTACTTGCACAGCAACCGGCTATCCTTGTTAAGCTTGCCATTAGCAAGCCTCAGAAACTGAAATGTAGACTTTTTCAGCGTCAAAGAAGTTAGGAAGACACTTAAGTAAGTCATGTTGATTTCTTTTTTTTTCGTTTTTTTTTTCAGTAAAACTATTGAATTTTGATTTTTTTGCGGCTTGATTTTTTTTTCTGAACTTCAGTTCGTTTTTTTGTTAAAAGGAAGACAAAATCTAGTATTGGACAATAAAAATTCAAAGGTAACAAAAAATGATCGACTTCTAGTTTCGAAATCGGAATTTAATCTTTGTATCTAGTTTTCTCAAATGGTGTTATTTTTATCAAGTTTCAGTCATATCTTGCTCTCGAGTTTCAAAGAGCTGCAGAAGCATTTATTGTTTTTATTTTGAAATTTGAAAGTTTTTCAATAAAAATGAAGTCAAATGTTTTTCCTTACGCTCATTGACACTTTTTCAACTGTCTGTTGTCTAGTTTTTAAACAAAATCAGTTGAATCATCTGAGAGCTCGGATTGTGATGAACTCAAACTCCTTAACGTCTCTGGCAAATTGCTTCTAGATGTAATGATTGTATCGGGGATGGCAAAGGTTCTAGGTTCGAATCTGGCCTGTGCCTGCTTTTTTTTCCAACGTGCCTATTGTTTGTCGCTTTAGCTGGTACCTCACTAAAGATATAAACTTAGCTGGCACCAAAGATATAAACTCTCTCTGAAAAGAGAGTTTATATCTTTCGCGACAAGTTCTCTCAAGTAAATCGAAAATATAAATTAAAATTAATTTTTTTATTTATTTTAACTGAGATCAGTGAGGAGTGTTTTAGCAACATAAATTTTTCGATGTTAGTTTTTGAACAGGAGTTTCGATGTTTCGAAAATCGATTAAAATTAAGAGCAAGAAATATCTCTATTTTTCGATACATTGCATAATTTATGATATACCCTTTTGTCAGTTGACTCGAAATTTGCTGAAAACAAAATAATGCACACAGTGGGTTGTGAATGTCTGATTGAAATCGAAATGCAACACAGATAGTGATATGATGTGATTCGACGTTGGCTTACAACACCTGGAATAAGAAACTAAAATATCGCATCTTGTTTTAAGCATAAAAAAGCGCTATTTTTTGGTTACAATAGATGCCTGCAATCTAAGTTTGTTTCAGATCTTTCTGATACCTTAAATACCTTATTGATCGGTTGCCTTAAGCGAGAAATTGCCTGCTCTTTTTCACAATGGAAGAGGAAGATGATGAAGATGTGGATTTTGACATGATGCCTTGTTCCATGTTCGATTTTGATATGGAACCTGTTTTAAAACTGCAAATTGCAACGGAAAAAATAGACTCGGACACCGACCAATGTGACCCCAAAATTGAAACTGTCAAACCCTGTGATCTTCGACAGGAACAACTAAAAAGTGCCTTCGCAGACTGTCGGAATCCAGAGCCGAAAAATGATCAAGCTGAATGCGACTTTTTAGCGAAAGGTGATTGGACGACTGAAGCACACGCCAGTGTATGTATCACAGAAGCTGCAAACGTCAAGAGAATACAATACAATGATAACAACCAGCCATGCAAAACAAATTCTATTAAATTTAAGACACCTGTGAGCTCAGACAATATACAAGCTGAGAATAAAACTATACCATTGACCATTCAGATAGCTGAGCCGGCCTGTGAAACTTACAAAAAGCGAAGTTCAATCATAAAACAGATGCCAGGGGCCTTGGGATCCAGACCTATGATGTTGCAGAAACGACTTAAAGCTGCATTTGCAAAAATTAAGGAAAGGGGCGATCCGTGGAAAGAGTTCCATATTGACGAGCTACCGGGTCAATTAGCAACTAGATATCGCTACAATGCCAAGAAAAAATTGTGGGTCGAGGATCAGATAATAGTGAAGATGGAACCGGAAGCCTTCGCTCATGGGGCGATGCGAGGATGCCACAGGATGAAGAAACTGAGTACGATCCACAGTCAAGATTGGAAAGAGGCTGCGAACTATGTGGCCAAAAAGTACATTGACAGAGTAGCTGATGATGTTTATTTTGAGGATGTGAAGTTGCAGATGGATGCGAAAATATGGGCTGAAATGTACAACAGAATGGGGCCTCCGAAGCAAATAGATATCTTCCAGGTAAAATAGAAGTTCTTTAATACATATAGAAAGGCTGTCTTCAAATCTTTTTGTACATAATTTATGCTAGATTTGAAAAAGTAAATTAAGCGTGGTAAATTTTAAGCAAACCACTTAAATGTTATCTTCGTAATAAAAACAAAAAAGTCGGGACAGAAATTGATTTTATTTTTCATTTTCCTATTCTACTTAAATGCTTATGATTTATGTAAATTGTAATAAACTAGGGCCTTAATGTGTTGCATGCATTAACACATATCACTTATTCGGACATGTCACCATGTTTAAAGATGTGCGTAATTAAAATGGAGGAAGGAGGTCAGCTGTTCCATGTGGAACACTTCATAGAGGGAGAGTACATCAAGTACAACTCCAACTCGGGCTTCGTGGATGAGCACATGAGACACACTCCACATGCATTTAGTCATTTCACCTTCGAACACTCAGGTTCAATTTTTCTTGCAATCTGAATCACATTCCGAAAAAATCAGATCCCCTATGGGATCTTTCCTATATTCCGGCATATACCGGAGTAAGTCAGGCATATACGATTTCAATTGTTTTCAAAAAATAACAAAATCATAAAAATGAAAAAAAAATCAAAATTTTGTTTACTTTTTCAAATTTTTTGCCCTAATTATTTTAAACTGTTAGTAGAATGTTATTTTGCCAGAGAAGCTCTAAATGAAGCTTCTAAAACTATTTTTTCAGAAATTGAAGTTTTTCTACCCAAGTTGCTTATTTATATATATATTACGAACGTTACTCGATCGCTTGACTCGTTCGAAAATGGACGAAAATCAAAAATTTCAAACCGGTTTTTCCGAAACTGGGAAAATGTTTTGGAAGTTTTTAAATGTCGTTCGAATTGCAATTGAAAGGGCTTTAATATGATATATCAATCGACCCAGTCCGATTATTATTTGTTATATGAGTCAACGCAGTCCGATTATTATTTGTGGTACCTGATTTTGTTGTAACATATTTGATACCAAATTTGTTTGAGGCTTGTGATTTTGCTGGAATTCAATTAATTTATTTTTTTTGCGTGGAAAAACTAAAACACACCCGAAAAAACTAAAACCTACCCGAATACAAAGCTCCTCCCCATTTTTAATGCTCGGAAAAAAATAAAAAAGCTAAAACAAACCCGAATACAACGTCCCTCCTCATTTTCAATGGTCGGAACAACCAGGGTTTTGTAATGTACCCTCATTAAATTTATGAAAAGAAAAAACTAAAATTTGTTAGTACTTTTAAATGAAAATAATGGACGTACTGTTATCGTAACTCATTGAGCAAGTAAAGAATCCTTGTTGTTTTCAGGACATAAATTAATAGTCGTTGACATCCAGGGTGTGGGAGACCTGTACACAGATCCTCAGATACACACCTCAGAGGGAACCGATTACGGTGACGGTAATCTAGGCACCAAAGGTATGGCCTTATTTTTTCACTCACATCTCTGCAACCCCATTTGTAAGCTTCTAAATCTCAGTAAGTTTGACCTCAGTGAAGCAGAATTCAACGAAATCAAAACGGGGTCATCCAAAGCCATGTCTCCTGCGACCACTGTTGTTAATCCGAACAGACGCAGTAGATGTTCGGCTTCGGCCTCGAGTTTGTCACCGCATTCAGAACATACCGAGAGGCAGTTCTCATTTGACGGATCTGGTTCTGGATCCGGAATGGTTTTCAACATAGCGCAATCTCCCACAAATGAATCGCCTAGTCGAAACGGTTCCATCGGTTCAATGCCTCAGAGTCCGAGCGAAGGAGAAGAAATGGTAATGAGTCGTCGAATACGTCACGAAGATTCGATGTCGCTCGAGATCGGCAGTCCTTTGGATGAGCATTTTGAGTCGACGATGAGGAATCACAAGCCATCGACTGTCAATGGAATTGAAGATGTTTCGAAAATAGTAGAGTCTTTAGTGACTGATTCGGTGCTGGGACAGATACACTTCGAGCTGGCGAAGTATCACGAGTTGGGAAGATTCGCAAACGAAGGCGAAATTGACGCGGATTCTGCCTTATACCATTTAGGTGAGCAACAAATATAAGACTAATTGTGAATGAAATTAACTGTATAGCTCATATGTCATCCATGGAAGTTGTCTGATTGATCAAAAAATATATATAACACAAAAAGATAATCGCTGGAACGGGAAACTGTCTACTGATTTGTTGCGATTTTTTAGACATCGCCGCACAGCTTGAAAACGAAGAAGCCATCAGATGTCTTGCCCAGATCTACCTCCAAAGAGAAAATGACGTCATCCCTTCGGTAACTGTGCCTGAAACAGACGGCAACACCAACAAAGGAGTCGACTTCATGATCCAAAGTGCCCACAAAGGAGACAGGGTCGCTCAAGTCTACATGGCAAAGGCATTCGAGACTGGATTCGGCCTGGGTACCAGGAAGAGCAAAAACTGGAAAGACGCTGCTGTATTCTATGACATGGCTATCAATTCGTCTTCGGGAGGTTGCGAGGGTATGGATGAACCGAGCTACAAGTTGATGGCGTCTCTGGCTAATTTATACCACAAAGGAGGCTTCGGACTGGAGAAAGATCCAAGTGCTTCTGGCGATTTGTATAACGAGGCAGCGGAAACTGCAATGGCTCAGTTCAAAGGAGCTCTCGCTACCAAATATTTTGAGCTGGCTGAAGTTGCCTGGTCGGAAATGGAGGAAGAGTGAATATGGCTCTGTGCATTTACAATCAATTTTCAGTTCCTTTATTCTGCTTAAACTTGAAACTTTTCAAACACACTCTCAAACTGTTTCTAGTTGCAACTGTATGAACTTAATGCTTTAACGATGGGCTTCGAAAAAATGCTTCTCTAACGGTTATGGATGAGTTTAACTCTAATGTTGGACTGCCTTAAATTTATCATCTGTCTTTTCTTGTACCTGTAAATGCTTCAAAAACATTTTAGAATTATACCATATCTTATGAATCTTTTATAGGATTAAAGCCAGCTGTGCATGCGCGGAGTTGAGCCATGCTGTTAATAATGATGTATTCAGAATTTGTTTGGCGAACTTCTTTAAGACCGGAAATTTTTCAGTTTTGCTGAAACCTCAAATTGCCATACTTTGCTAGCTGCTAGCTTTTTTGCGAAGCTGTTCAGAAAACAATGATATAAAACAATGAGATAGATAGCTGGAATATTTTCGTTAGTATAATTAGGTGAAATCTGGTTGCGTGATATGCCATTGAACTTCTTTTCAAATGTTTCAATTTTTCTGCTCTTTAATCTTAAGGCCAAAATTACGTTCCCGTAACTAGACGAGCGATCTATCTTTTTGGAGACCATTCATTCGTGGTTCAGAAATTTTTTGAATATTTCTTGGCGTCGAGAAAAAGCGGTCTGAATTTTTTTTGATCATTGCGCCAATTAGAAGCGAAGAGCTGGTGATTTCATTTTTGGCTCGATGAGTTCGCATTTTCCCGACTGAAAATGAATGGATGCATCGAAAGTGAGCCTCTGTGAAGATATGTCGTTTCAGGTATTTTGGATGTCTGATTTTCCAGGCAGCATAACCATTAACAATGAAAAAGCTGGTATTGGAAAAATCTTTGCATTTAGTTCGATGCACTGTGGCTTGCAGAGGAATAAGCCTCCACTTTGACTGCTCTGAGCACTTAAGAAGCGATATTCGACTAGAATCAAATTCCTTGAAACAAACAAGATTAGCTCGGCCGTTCAACTTCACCATCTTGAACCAACGTAGACAAAATTTATCGTCAATTTCCCACCCTAAAACCGAAGCAAGTGATAGAAGAGAAGATCACGGCCCGCTTCCTAAATATCTAAGTTTGACTGAAGAAGAAAATGAGATCAAATTTGACCCCAGACAGAAAATAGTTGCTGAAAAACTTCAGAATTTGTTTGAAAAACTAAAAGAGGAGCAGCAAGAGATATCAACAGCTGTGATTGTTGATCCAACAGAGCAAGAATCATTGTACACTCAAGTAAGTCACTGCTCAATCAAAGCAAAATTTATAATGTTTCAGGAGGCTCAGTTTATTGTGTTTTCCAGTATGTTATAGCATACTGCTTTGTCCCACTTTATTCGACCCCAAGGCAGGTCAAATCTTAAATTAAAGCTCTTTCAGAAGATTTATGACCCGACCACTCCCAAAGCGTGGAAATGAACTGTGAAGTAGGTCGGTTTTAAGTTTTTTCCAGCCATTTTTGACTGCCTCAAGGAAAGATAGAAGGGGTCAAGTGAGATATCATATTAAAGCCCTATTGTGATAAGAATTCTGAAAGTTGAAAAAAATGTTTTCTCAATGTCGAGTCAAACTGGTTAAGAATCAATGAACGCAGTGAAGACTCTTGGGCTGTGATGATTTTGTTTTCAGGAAGTTTCATAATAGGTTCACACTCAAATTTGATTTTTCGCCGTATGACTTTTTATATTTTTAGAAGTTCAATTCTTTTCCAAGGAAAGCAAATTCCACTATCTAAAATCACAAGTGGAAAGGTCAAGAAAAACGTGACTGGCTTCTAGATTTGAAAGTGATTTTTGTTTTTCAGATTTTCCAGCGGATTAAAAAGTGAATTTAGTGGTCCACTTTTCTCAAATTTTTCAGGAGCATATACTTTTTTCTTTGAAATTCGAAAATGGAAGTTTTTGTTTCGACCATTGAAAAATGTGGCGAACTTTGCATGCAGGTGTGTTCAAGTTTTTAATTTTTCTTTTTTGTTTTCCACGCCAAATCAGGTACCACAAACAATCTCCTTCAGTCATGATTCGAAGGACATTATAAATGTCCAAAACTTGTTCCCAGTGTTGAGAAAAACCGGTAAAATGTTTGAGTTTTTCTTCATTTTCGAGCGATTAAAGCGATCGAGTAACGTTCGTTATATATAAATATTGGCCATTTAGGCTGAAAAAAAATTTAAAAGGATTCTAAAAAGAAAACTTGTTTTGGAATCTTCATTAAACGGTTTCTCGGCCATAAAGTTTTTTTTTGAATTTTTTTCATTTTTCATGAATTTATTTTTTGAAGACAATTGTAGGATTTTATGCCAAATTCAAAATTTTCTATGCGTTTTTATAGTTCATTAATCACACCATGCAGAAGAATCGACGCTAATTTGAAAATATAAAAGTTTTTTTTTCTGGTAGTTTTTTCAGGAATGTGGTCGGAACATTCTGTGCTACTTGCTTAGCAACCGGCTATCCTTGTTTAAATATAAAATCAGTTTTTTTCCTAGTGTGTATTGACTCGTTTTGAGCTGTGTCAAGTCTACGTTCTGAATATTTTTGATTTATAGATTAAATTAGACGAAACTTTAAAAAGGCTGACCATCATCAATTCAATTCTCCTACAAATCGATAATTGTTTTGGCTGTTATTAATTCTCATTATTGCAGTTTTTCACCTAATACAGACAATCTATAGTAAAAAAGAACAGCAAAATAGGAAGAAGATAAAAATTTTTCAAAATTTTGTCCTTATGTTTGATTTTAAAAAGTTACTTTGGTCGGAATATTCTGTGCTACTTGCGCAACAACCGGCTATCTTTGTCTGAAATTTGATATCAGATATATTCTCACACAAATTATCAAAACCAAAAATGCTATCAATTCATAAAATATATTACTTTTGCAAATTATTAACTTGAGCCTTCAATCAGAGTAGCAAGATAAATAAATGTTTTGAAACAGAGAATGGAAAGTTAAGAGAAAATATTTTGGGTTTTTTCATGAACTCCGCGGTTTTTACTGTTACTGGGCGTTCGTATTTGAGGCAGCAATTTATAGTAATTCAATAGAAGCCTTCTTTTAGATTTTTGGCACAAAAGATGGGCGGAGCGCAAAGAGGCTGAAAGGGTTCTACATCCATGGATCAGTAGGTCAGATTTTTCCTAGGAGTTCAATCGAATGATTTGCAGCCCAGAAATCTCCGCAAACTTTTTACTGATAAGTAAAAGACCAATGAGGCTGATTTGAAATAAAAATTGGTTGGTTCATGGTAGATTACTGGCAAACATTATTTAGCCGTCGAAGATTTATCAAATAGAACGAATTCGTGCACTTTCATCTGACTATAATCTGAGAAAACAGGTATTTAGATATTTAAAAAACAACTTTATAATGAGATGAACGAGATGATAATAATGTAGTTTTTTTAATATCTAAATACCTATTTTCTTTACGACTGTGATAGGGTGTGGTAAGACCATGTTGATGGATTTATTCTACGACTGCTGTCCAATCAGGAACAAGCTCAGAATCCACTTTCACGAATTCATGGCAGACGTACACAGGAGGATCCACATAGCCAAGCAGGACCACCTTAATCAAGTGACCTCAACTAGAAAAGGCAGGATCAGTTTATTCACGCAGAGTGGCATTGATGAGGCCTTCGACCCCATCCCCCCAGTTGCAGATGCAATAATTGAGCAGTACAGAGTGATATGCTTCGACGAGTTCCAGGTAACATATATCAAGTCTATACATTGCGTGGCGTGGGAGGGGAGCTGAAGGGGAACTTCTGATGTTGGGGGGTGGCGTTCTTCTCAAACATTTATGGAGCTCTTAAGCTCTTTTATAGCTGATAGATCAACAGTGCTGCTTATGAATGTGAAAATTTATAAGTTGACCAAAACGCTAATTTTTGTGTGGCCAAATTGCAATGATTTGTTTCTCGCGTGGCTTTGAAATCTTGCAAATTTCGATAATGTGATTTTTTATCGTTGATATGTAATGGAGTTTTAGGTGACGGACATCGCGGATGCTATGATTCTGAGAAGTCTGTTTACCAACCTGTTCCAGAGAGGACTCATAGTCGTCGCAACATCCAACAGGGCACCCAAAGGTAAATACAGCTCAGTGTCTGACAATATGAATAATTGTACTGTCGTATAATGAAAAAACCGTGTATTCGTGTACAGTGAATTTTTACAAACGAAATTGAGTATATAGCGAAAAAACCACTGTATAAAACTCGGTATTTCGAGTATTGCGTGTAAACATTCAAAGTGAAATTTGAATCAATTTTTTAAGGTCTTTGCTTTCATTTTGTCTCGACTATTCTTGATAGGCCTGCTAATCATTATGCTGGAAGTCGCTGATTCTGCCATAATATCGGTTGTAATTGATCGAAGACACGCATGTACTCGTGCATTCGCCGGTTTGATTTTCTGACCGTGTACATGAACGAATATACACCACAATACACTAATATGAAAAAAAAACACATGAAAAAAGCCATGTAATAGTGATCAACGCGGACTGAACGAAGTTGTTATTGACCCTTAACGAGGCTAGTCTAGTTAGATACCAGTATCTTGCAATATTTGCAAGTCGTTAGCCAAACTTTTGATACTAATGACTGAAACCTACTAAACGGTTTGTTCATTACACATGCCGAGCGTTGTGTACTTCTACTATTCAACTTTTTTCCAACCTATTTCGCAAATATTGGTGCAAATTTTGGCGGCAACTTCATTTTCACGAAAACCAATGGAAATACCGGCTACTTCTGTCTGTGTTGCATACACGGCTATCATTGTTTTACGTTACCCGACGACCTTTGAAAATTTCAAAGGGGGATTTTTTTGCCTTTTTTAAAATATTTTTTGAAGCAGGGCAATTTCAAAAATTGACCTTCTTTATCTGAAACTTTGAGTTCATTCAAAAGATTATGTTTTGACAATCTACACTTCTTAAGCGGATATGCTTTTGTCTTAGTAGAAAAGGAGTTATGTCCTTAGAAAATGTCCAAAGCTTGAAATTTTGACCCTTTTTTGGAAATTTCTTTTTTCTCGAAAAACAAGCTGCCAAAACCTTGAGAGGAAGTGTTCAATCGGAACAACTGGTCTTGAGAATTTTTGTTATGTAAATGGCTAGACGTTTTTTTTTGTATGGCAAAGTTGATGTCCTAAAAACTGTCTAATTTTGAAGTTTTTACCGTTTTTGGAAACATTTGGTTTTACTCAAAACTACTCTGCCAAATTTGAGATTGAGGGTTCAATCGAAAGAGACTGTAGCAGTATTTTGTCTGCATAAGCAGCTACGCTCTATTTTTGCGTCTTAGAAGTCTTAAAAATTTGAAAGTTTGACGTTTAATTAGAGAAAGTTTGACCTTTTGTTAGAGACTTTGATTGTTCTCGAAAAGTATCTCGCCAATTCTGCGAGTAAGGGTTCTATCGAAAAAACAGGTGCTAAAAGTTTTCTTCGCATAGCGCATACGCTCTACTTTTGTCACAAACAAATTTAGAATTTAAAAAAAACTGGTCTACTCTTGCGATAAGCAAGACTATTGCAACCGGTTACAAAACTTCTCCTATCGTTAATATCTTAGTTCACGGAATGATCTATTTAGTAATAAACCATTTTTCAGTTCATGTCAGTCCCTACATCCTTAGTGTACTACTTTAGGGATCATAATTATTTTTTGATTGGTTAATGTAAATTTTGTGATTGCTTTTTTAATTTGAGTTTATTTGGTGTCGATCTTAAATCTGTCGGTTTATTTACTTCATGCTTTTTTCCTATTAGTTTTAGTAAAAAGTAATAAACTGAACTGGACTCAAATTTTACAATTTTTGTTCCTAATCCTGAGTCAACTTCTCCGACAAGTTTAAAAACCATTTGTAAAAAACTGCGAGTAAGGGCTCAATCGAAAGAACAGGTGTTAAAACTTTTCTTCGAACTTTTTGTTTTTTTTGTTGGTTTTTATGCCGCAGCACTAAATGCTTTTGGTTTTTTAGATATGATGTTCTTAAAAGATTTTGTTTTCTCATAAAACTCAAGATATAAAAAAATTAAACCAATCATCCATCCAAGCAACTAGCCATCAAGAGAATTTACCGTAATTCTTCAATCCATCTAGCTATCCATCCATCCAAAAGCCAGCCATCCATTCTTTCATCAAGTTCTTTAATCATCACGCGATACATCCACCCATCAGGTCATCCATACTTTCGTTTAGCCATCCACCCATTCATCTAGCCATTCATTCAACCAGCCAGCAATGTTGTTCTATTATCCATCCATGCGTTAA